TAATTTTATATTTATTCATATAAAAATATTAAAGAGACGAAACTTTTGATGAAATTACAATTTTTCAAAAAAGAGTTAGTCAGGTATCACTATTTAATACTATCATTAAAGATGGTTCTATAATTATTTTTAAAATTTTTTAATTAGTTGTAACTATCATGATCAGTGAAGTTATATGTAATACAATGAAATACATGTTAACGATTTTTTAGCGAATAACAAAAGTAAGAAAAAGATCAAGAAAGTTAATTATATATCCCTTTTGGCTTTGTATATCTATAAAATGGTTAGTATTATGATAATACTCTAATAGAATCAGTCTAAGTAATAAAATAACATATATTGCTTTATTTTATAAAATATTCTTATTAGATTGAATTAGAATCTTTACTTAATTTCTTGTTTGATTTAAGTAGAGTGAATAAAAGGATCAACTGATAAAACTTACCTTCTTTTTATATGTTTTATAGTGATGTATATCGCGTAATCTTAGAATGTGTAAGTATAATTACATCATGAAAATCTAGATCATTACATATGGACTGGAAAGTTTGAAAAGGAAATATTTATAATGTGGATAATTTAGTAGTTTTAATAGCAGATCAACTCAGAAAGTACTTTTTTATTTCATATTTTTGGTCTTTTCGCAAATACTGTAATGATTAAGATTTGATCTAAGATATAGGATTAATGACTTTTTGTTGAAAGATAAGTTCAATTAGCATTTATATAAGAAATCAATTAATCAAAATATATAATTAAGGTTGATAAAAATCTTAATTGTTCCTAATTGGTCCTAATTGATCCTGATTTATTTTAAAAAAATTATTAGCTTTAAAGATTAAATTTTTTTTAATTATTATCATTATATTTAATTTTTTAATTAAATTTACTTATTAAAATAAGTTTAAATTTCTTTTTAAAATTTAAAATATCTTTAAAATTTTAAATTTAAGTTCTAGTCCTAGAACCAGGTCCTAAATTGAGTATATTTATTATTTTTAAAGAATTTTTTTATTTTGAATTAATAAAATAATCGATATATAATAATTTTTAAAAATATTAATTTATTATTAAAAAATTTAATTAATAGTATATAAATTAAAATTATCTTTAAATTCTTTAAGACTATTTAGAACTTATTAGGACTTTTACTAACTATATATACAACCATATGCTGGAAATTTCAGTTATTTTGTGTTCATATTTCTGGATCCGTTTATCTTATCAGATAAATATAGATAAAAAATAAATTATTAACCTAACTCACCTTATTTTTATAATTCTGTTCACAGTTTAAGAATCAAAATTAAGTTATTCTAAACAATTGTAGAGTAGCAAAATAATTAGAAAAAATCTGATTATAAATACAATTATAATATAGATTAATATGATTCGTAATAAGTTAACAAGTTTCTGATAAACCCTAATATTTTAACTGAAATTCATATTGGTAAAAAGCAAAATATATTAATACAATTCACCCCACCACAAGTAAATATTTGATTACAGTTTTTTTATTTTTTTATTTTTTTTATTTCAGCTAATTTCATAATTTATGGACCACTAATAAATTGCAACTGAATGTGACTGAAAAATTATTAATGGTTCATAAATTATGAAATTAGCTGTAATAATCCCACTATCACCTCCAAAACCTTTCTCATATTATTTTACAAATTTAGTTCTTCATTTGAATTCTCTAATGCAAATTTATTGAATTTAACCTTAAGCAGATTTTTACTTGTGCAAAAAATTCCTTTACTATTTATTATATTTTAAAAAAACCATAATTTTACAGTTATAACTATTCCATAAATGTAATACTTTTTCTTGAAAGCAACATTGATACTGCATTTGTTCTTTTGGGATGAATTTTTTAAGTTAAAGCAGATTTTGCACAATTCCTTCAAATACATTCCAAAATTTTCCTTCAGTTATACAAATAAGTTCTGAGAGATACTTTATGGCAGTGATGGGTTTTAGACACATTTTTTAATTTTGGAACAAGGTTTTGGACATGAAATTGTGTCCAAAACCTATCCAAAACTATTTAAAATTGTCCAATTTCCCAACACTGCTTTATGGCATAATCCACTTGACCAGTATTATCTTCACCAGTGATTTCTAATTGAGGATGGCGGGTTATCTTTTTTCATGTGACCTTTCTGGCAATAATTATTGCTATATTGAGGAAACATTTGATGTATTCACAATGTTCTCTTTCAGCATTGGTGAGAAGTAAAGATTCCAAAACAATCAATTTACTCTGAGTTTCACACATTCCTTTAAATCTTCTTCATTTTCGTCAATGGGTATGTTTTTGTTAAAATCAAAATAGGCAATATACAATAGTTTGATTTACATAGAAACGCCTTATTTTGTGTAAATTGTGGGATGTCATCTATGCTAGTCCCATCGATTCCGTGCTCTTTTAGCAGGGTTGGGAATTTTGTATGTACTAGATAAAATTAACACTGTACTTGCACTAATTTTTATATTAATTATTATAGTGTACTAACTGTACTAACTGTACTAATCATTGTACTAACACTGTACTTCCCAACCCTGCTTTTAGGACTTTTTCACTGTGCTGTATTTTGAGTATGATTTCAATTTTTGAGTTTTTAGTGTCTCGGAGAAATTTGCTAGAATTTTTGCAGGCCCTAACGGTAGACCTATACTACAGAGCTCTTCTACTGTTAAATCTTCAACAAAGGCAAGCCCGTTAATATCTTCTTTTCTTAAAATTCATAGTAAGTCTTTTCTTTTCTCTTTAAAAATTGAATAAGTTCATCAGTATCCAGTTCTTTGACAATGGCATATTGTGTATTCCTCTGTTAGTGCGGTGGAATTAGTTGAAGACAGTGAAATGGGTGAAGGTAAAGACATAGTTTTTTTTTTATATCTTTGTATCCAAAAAATAAATTTGTGTAAAAAAAAAGGAAAATTGGAGATTAATGTAAAATGTTAGGAATTTGTCGCACGGATCAAATGCAATCATGATGAACTTCACTTGTTACGATGCCAATTATTGGCATTGTTTCTATGGATTCATATTCAATATCTGTTTGGCCAAATTTTCATTTTCCTAACGTCTGAATATAGGGAATTTCTTAGTATTGTTATAACTTAGGAAGGTTAAAATAAAAAACATTACCTCGTACGCACTATCTATTTGTGCCAGATTTTGGGCGATGCCCTTCCCGGGTTCGTTCAGTTTGGCCTCCGTTATTAAGAGAAAAATTTTTTGTATCATTACTATATAGTCCAAAGGTCTGTAACCGTGACTTCTCACAAGTTGTTTTTCCACCATTAACGTTGCTGTATTATCAATATTTTTTTTGACAAAATAGACTGCATTTACTAAAATGACAGAAATAAACTCTCGGGCGATAGCTTCATTAGTATTGGTGTTATCAAACATAGATTCCTTAACTTTAAGTTGCTCAATGATCGTGTTCAGTCCTTCATCGCTAAGTGTTTGGGATAATTGTGGGAGACCCTCCAAATTGAAATCATCTGACACTAATTCAAGCATAATGTTTTTATAATTGTAAATATTTTTTAAAACTTCCTCGAGCTTCCAATCGTCAAAAGATTTTCGGTTCCTGATTAGAACCTTTAGATCTAAACTAAGTAAAATTTTACCCACTTCTTTAAATTCTCAACTAAAAGTTCAAAATTATACGCATTTCCTATTTTCTCCCCTTGATGTTCAAAATAAATGTCGTTCAGTTTACAATCAGCTAAACTCTCAAACTTTGATTTAGCCTCAACTTGCAACATATTGAATGAACCAGTTGTATGCTTGATCTTACACTCTTCCTTTCTGTTGTTCACAAACCTAAGATTCACTTTGAATGTTGAGAAGACAAATTAACGAATGAGTACTAGACATTATAGGAAAAAAAAAGAATGAAAAACGAATTTACTTACTGCTCAAACGGGACAACGGGTAGCGAACAATTATTGTTGTGTCTGAATCTTTGCCAACATCTAGGGAACTAAGGTTGGTATTTGGCCTAAGACTTTCATTAAAAAGCGTAATATCCTCATTTTCAGCACTTTTAAGAAAAGGATGATGCTTGCGAAGAACACTCCAAATCCGCACTTAACTTCCAAATCTTTAAAATCATCTTCTTTAAGCACAAACTTTCTGGCATCTTCTTTGTCCTCAAACAGGACCCATATCTTTATGGACAAGAACTTGGACGAGAACCTTGAGGACGTTTATTTAGGGAGCCTGGCCGTTCTATAAATTCAAACACTCTTATCTTTGTTGACATTTTTTACTGCGGATAATACCAATTTAGGTTAGGGTGTTTCAAAACAATAGAAAAACTTAGAGAATAGATCTTACTTATATTTACTGCGCGGTCGTAAAATTGCGAATCAAACTTTTGTTTTTTTTTTTGAATTTTTTGCAGAACGTTTCCAGTAAAATCAAGTCATGATCCGTAATGTGATTTTACTGGAAACGCTCCCATATATATATAATAAGCATAGCAAACTTTCGTTGTGATTGGCTAATTTTTGTTGATCATTTGGTTAATTTTTCTAAAATATTATTGGTTGATAAAATAAAAATTTTTTATCATATTTCGGCATAGATGCAGTCCTAAATTAGAAAATATAATGCCTTGTATTTTTTTTTTTTTTAGATTAAATGAATGCTAATTTATTATCTAATTCAGAATAGCCAAATCAAAAAAAAAAATTTAATAGTTTTGGTCATATATATTATTAATATAATTTAATAAATTTAATAACTAAATTATATATTTATAAAAAAACTTAATGTAAAATCTTTCAATTTATATTTTTTGAATTTTTTTATAAGAAATCTGTCTTTATTAAAAAAAAAAAAAAAAAAAAAAAAGATAATTATGCTTTATCTTAATTATATGTTTGATAAATCATTTATAGCCTTTTCAATAAGTTAATCTATATTACTTTCCAAAGAAAGATCTTTAATACTGATATTAGTATTATATATACATTTTTATCTATCTTTATTTTTCTTCAATTTCGCTTAAAAGAAATCAGCACCATACCTGGCATTAACTCTCTAATTTAAGCAAAAACATTTAAAATGATTAGCATGTTCACAGATTAAAATGCAACTTTACATTTTCAAAATCTATATAACCCTTTCAAATTATATTATATTATTATAGTCAGTTCTTCATTATTGCTTAAATATTATAAGCGAACAGATAATATAGGTGGTAAGCAGAAGGTTTCATTTATAGTTGAGATGTGATAAAGTATATGTATCAGTTATTTATTTGATATGAAATAATAATTGCTGTTAGAATTTCTTCAGATCATTCTTGAAAGGATCCAGTAGAGCGCATTATGTCAATATTATATCTTGATTTACAGTGTATTGTCTCTAATGCGAAATGAAATGTGTGAAGAATTTAGAAAAAATGTAATTCCATAAATGATATTTGTGAGAAATCAAAAAAAAGATCCACTTTTAAAAAAAGAATTAATAAATAGTTTACAGCTTTAATGGAAGATATCTTTGAAAGATTATCACTAAAAGAAGAGTTCTTTAAAACTTTTAAAGTAGCATCTGATAAAGATTTTGTTGAATTGTGGGAATCCATATTAGAAATTGATAATACATTAGAGTCAGAATATTGAACGAAAAAAAAGCATTAAAGATAAAATAAGTGTTTTCTCAAGTTCATTCACTACCAGGTCCAATTCCGTCTTTTGATAAACAAAGTTATAAAGAATTCTCAGAAGTTTATGGAACAATTACCACAGAACAACATCGATTTTCATCAAAACAACAACAAAAAAAAACAAGTAAGCAACATGGGATTCCTAACGTTCAATTTGCTAAAAATGGTGGAATTGTTGTTAAATGTTTGAATGTAACAGTGGCGTGTATTATATAGTAAAACAAATTTGAAATTTTGAATATGATGCTACAAAAGAATCTGAAACATTTGAAGGTGATAATAGTAATAATTATGAAAGTGAAGATGTGAGTAAACTTTTTGAAAAACGTTAATTAACAATAGCTTATCATCAATGGACGTATTTTTTATCTAATAAAATGGATTTTCTATATATATGTAACCCATGTGATTAAGAATTCGCTAGTTGGTAATAAAAAAAAAAATTGATCGACCTATCCTAGGTTAATATTTTTTATATTCATTGTTCATAATGTCACTTAAGCAATATCAAAGAGAATTTATAGAATATTCCATCGCACAAAATATTCTGAGTTTTGGTTCATATACGTTAAAGTCTGGTCGTAAAAGTCCATATTTTTTCAATACAGGCAAATTCAATACGGGAGAATCATTATCAAAAATTGGTAAATTCTATGCGGAAGCCATAGAATCATACCACGAATTGATTTATGATGGGATATTTGGTCCGGCATATAAAGGAATACCTTTAGCGTCCTCAACAGTTATAGCATTATCAGAAATATTCAATAAAAATATACCATTTTCCTTTAATAGAAAAGAAATAAAAGATCATGGGGAAGGTGGTAATATTATTGGATCTCCTTTGAGTGGAAATATTTTAATTATTGATGATGTTATTACGGCTGGTACCGCTATTAGAGAAAGCATTGAGATCATTACAAAATGTGGAGCAAAGGTTGCTGGTGTTATAGTGGCCGTGGATAGACAAGAGAAGGGTACTGGTGAAAAATCTGCCGTACAACAAATTGAAGAAACATATAGTGTTCCTGTTAAAGCGATCGTGAATTTGGAACAAATAATTAAATATTTTAAAGAAAAAGATGGTTATGATGAACATTTATCAAAGATGGAAGAATATAAAAGCTTATACGGAATTAATACCTGAAATTAAAATCTAATTGATTTTTTTAATTCCGTTCTTTTGAAAAAAATTTATTAGAATAATTAACAAAATTACAAGGAATGCCTTTTTAATCTACAAGATAAATTTCAAGCTCTTTTCTCATTTCATCAATATTTTTATTCCAATGTTCTTCGTAATAAACATTTAACAAAAATTTACATTGAGATCCACATTGTAGAGCCCAAGGAACATATTTTTTAAACAATCCCTCCCTTTCCTTAGAAGAAAGTTTTAAAGGTCCAAAAATAGAACTCAATAAAGTCATAGGCAATCCGGTTTGAGCAAGTTCAAACCATTTTAAAGCTAATTCTCCTTCAACATTAACAGGTAATTTGGTCAAAACATGGAAAAAGTCATGACATTCTCGGTACCTTTGCATAACATAAGCTAATTCATCATCATAAATATATTGTACTTTAACTCTTGTATCTGGTGTTACGTTTTGTCCATTTAAGAAATTTATGTATTCTTTACCAAATGTACCTAATGGTAAAGAACTTAAATATGGTATGTCTATCGTACTTGAATGAATTCGTGGACGTTCCCGTAGAATCCTTCGTCCTGTTGTGTCTCGTAACATGTGATCTCTCATTCTATTGATAAATATTGATCCTGTTGTTTCTCCTAAGGTCGCTACCATGTCTATTAAGATATCCAAACAAGTTTAATCATAAAAGATAATAGGTAAAAGAATTACTTGTATTAAATGTATTTACCTCCTCTTCCGGGATCACAAAATGCAGTAAATGCTGATGAAACTGCAAGTATACTTTTTTTCAAATTTGATATTTGTGCATTGCTGCTTGATGTGTAATTCGTTCGTTTTGGAATTATCTCCGAATTCTTGTTATCTAAAATTAAAAAAAAAAATTGTCAAATCATTCAAACATTTAATCAATAAGGAATTTTTTAAACTTTACCTCTATGTAAATTACTTTGTAATATATTTCGAGATAAATTAGCTAGTAAGATTCTTCTCGTATTAATTTGTGACGATAACGAAGAAGCTCGAAACATTTTTTATTATTATTTTTTTTTTTAATTTGCTAAATCTAATGAGAATTCATCATGTGATATAAAGTCGTTAATCACGTTGTTAAAAAAAATTAAAGGTTTTATACGTAGGTTCTGTTTTTTAAAAAATTTCGGGAAATTCATTTTTCTTATTTTACTTTAAACAATTCGGCATAGGTAATCACATTATTAATTACTAAGCTTTTTTTTGGTAAATAGTAAAAAAATTTCCCGGAATAAATATAATAAAATATTTAAAAAAGGTTAGAATGAAAATTAAGTCCGCTGAGAAGAAAGAATTTTATTATAACATTAGAATGATTTCTTATAATTTCTACCTCAGAAATTCCGGAGGTAATTGTTGACGCACTTTGTATCACCTTATAGATACATACATATAAATGTTTAGGGATATGACGATTAAAGAGGATCGAGAATTGATATATCGAATGGTTTACCATTTCATTAATTTATGATGATATTAAAGAAGTCGAAGAATTTATTAAAGAATTCGAAGAATTATTTATAAATTACATTTCACAAAGTAAAAAAAAAAAAACTTTTTTTTTGTTTTTACTGTAGATAAAAAAATCACAGATTGTCGCTTATAAATGTTTTGCTTGTATTCTAGACTTTTATTTTTTTATTCGGTATTATGGCTGAGGGTGTAACTTTGCGGCGATTACTTCCCTAGTTATATAATTTTACCTTGGAGACGCCATAATTTTAGCTAATTGGTGGAGAAGATGATGTGAGTCGGTTAATATTCTATCGCCCAAAATAAAATACCCTGGGTCTTTACATAAGTCAAAACGGGTTACATTACATTCAAAGGGGCAGTGCTATGTAGCCTCTTAACATTTGAGCTTTATTAATTAGGAAAAAAAGGCAGCTAAGGATATATGATGTCCAATTAAATGAGTCATATTATGATTTCTTTATCCCTATTTTTACTCATATATAATCGAAAAACAAAAATTTAGTTCATAATGCGTAATTGTTGATTCTACCCCAGGTAATATGTATTAAAACCCTAAGATTTTATTGAGAGGCGGTTGTTTCACACGTTTATAAATAAAACTAAAAAAGGAAATCATTATGAAAATTAAGGAGACTTTTCCTTAATTAGTGATAAGCACGGAGTATCAAAACAAAAATATCGGAATTAACATTCAAAAAAAATTAATAATTTAGTGCATTACCTTTAACCGTTTTAGTTTCCTAACCCGTTTAGGGTGCCACGCCATTTTAATATTTCATTTTTTTTATCCCTTATTGTTAACCTGCATGCAGGTTTTTTTATTGGGCTTGATAATCATTATTCATGTATATAAATATCTTTGATTTATACTTTCCCCTTTTTTTGGAATAATAATTTAGTAGTTTCAATAAAAATATTTAATTTTCAATTAATGAATCAAAAATGTCACAAGAAGATAACCAAATAACACAACAACCGCAAGAAGGTCTTGCGGGTGAAGGTACAGAAGCTTCGGAAGGATCTCACAGGATTTTAATCAATGATCCATTATCAACAAATCGACCAATCCCGAAACGCCATTCATCGGTAAAAATACGTCGACGTAAATCTTCTTATAGATCTGGCGAAGATAATTCAAATGATGATGATGACGACAATGGTGACGACGATGATGGTGATGATTACCATTCTGAGGGTTCGAGAAAACGTAATAAGAGAATTAAAAGAAAAAGTTTGAGAAAACGTCATTCGTATCGACGTGAAGATGATGACGTCGATGAAAATCTAGATGATAATGATGATGATGAGAACGAATCTGATCATGAGCTCACTCTTAAAGATAGACAAGAAGTAATTTAATATTTCATAATTTCCTAATATTCATTTTACATTAAAAATTTCATCGTCATAACAAGACTCCTACATAATATTTATATTATCAGGCAATTAATATTACGCATCCATTCGGTTTGCGATTGTGGAAACCTGCATTGTATAAGAAGCTACGTACTGTGACACGTAACGCGGATTCAGCGCTACATTCTACACCTTCACCAGATTTATACCTTAGTTTTGGTAATATTCTTTGGGCAATATGTTTCGGATGGTGGTTAGCGTTAACGACATTTATTATATCAATTATCTTTTTGCCGTCATTTGGAGGATGGAAATATGCAAGGGTATTTCGAGAATTAAGTTATTATATATTTTGGCCATTTGGTAAATTTGTTGAAAAGATTGATGAAAACGGTGAAGAACAGAATGAACATCAAACCGATTATTTTAGTCGACGCGATTCTCATGACATGGATATCGAAGATAATGAGAACAGACCTTTATTGGGAAGTCTTTATATTAATTCACGTAGAAATAGCCATTCGGAGAAATTTAATTTCTTTGAAAAATTAGATGAAATTGGTCTTTCCGGTGTTATCTTTTATTTCTGGTTCTTCCTAGTCATAGGTGAGTTTTACACGAAGGGATACATATGACGCATAAACTAATTATCATATCATTAAATTATTATTTATATATTCCAGCACCGGTATATTTATTTGTTTCGGCGATATGTTGGTTATCGGTATTTCCAATTCCAATGGCAAAATTAATTTATGTATTACTTGGACATTTAAGAAAACACCCATTATCATTACATTTTAGATCAGGATCAGCACCTTTAACATCATCAAAATCAGTCATATTATTATGTACGGACAAAGCCTTAGGATCACAATATTACAAATATACATACGATGGGATTAATATATTCTTTATTAATTTAATGTCTATAGTATTTTTTGTCATGATAGATGATTATTTTCTTGTAGAAATATTTCCACCAGGGAAATATTTTTTTACGACCCCAGTATTTATCTTTATCTTATCATTAATATCAGTTATACCTTTAAGTTATTTTATTGGTATGGCTGTGGCTTCTATTTCAGCTCAATCATCCATTGGCTTGGGAGCTGTCATTAATGCTACTTTTGGAAGCATAATTGAAATTCTTTTATACGCAATCGCTTTATATAAAGGACAAGGTAAATTGATGGAAGGTAGTATCATTGGAAGTTTCATGGCTGGCGTTCTATTAATGCCTGGCGTTAGTATGATTAGCGGTGGTCTAAAAAGAAAGGAGCAAAAGTTTAATGCTAAAAGCGCAGGTAACATTTATATTATGGTTTATTCCTTAGATTATAAAAAAAAATTGATTTATTAACTTTCTTAAAATGTAGGTGTTACATCAACTATGCTGATTATGGCTATCATTGGTACACTTACTCCAACCTTGTTCTTTCAGACATATGCTCCTGTAAGTATTAATGATTTTTACTTTTTTATAGATGTTTTACTAATGCTTATTAATATATATATATATTTATTTATAGTATAGAATGTCTTGTGAACCTTGTAGCGGAAATGATGAATTAATAGTTGGTTCTTGTCAGATTTGTACACACTCCGTGGTTGAACCTACCGAAACTCCTCTATACAAAGAACGCGTCAAACCATTAATGTTTTTTTGTGCTATAATTCTCGTATTGGTAAGCATTTCTTATCAAATTTAATCAATTTTGTTTTATTAAAAAGGTTAACTCAAATTTCGTGTTTTTTTTTTAGTCATATTTAATTGGATTGTGGTTTACATTACGCACACATGCAGCATTGGTTTATCAAACACACGCAACAAATCCGCAATCCATTTATCAACGTTTAGTCCCAATTAACATTATCCAACAATTTCTTCCACATTCCATATCACAATCAAATACACCTCATCCGCATAATCAAAATTCATTACCATTATCATTACAAAGACCAATGTCGGTACCAAATGTCGGTAACCAAAGGTTTCGTCATGATGATGTAAATGAAAATACAATTCATTTAGAAAATAGCTTACAAAATGCAGCATCACAACATATTAGTTTTATTAGACATCCTAATGAACCTGAAGAAGAAGAAGAAGTTGGTGGTCATGATTCTCCTAATTGGAGTAAATTTAAAAGTGGAATTGTACTTTTAAGTTGTACTGCTTTTTATTCTTTAATTGCAGGTAATGATTGATTATTTATTGTGACATATAAGCGTCTTTTAATTTGTAAAAAAGTTTGGGAAACATTAATAACACGTATTTTTTTTTTTTTTTTTTTTAAGAAATCCTGGTTAATAATGTTAGCGTAGTATTAGATAATGTTTCCATAACAGAAAAGATGTTGGGGTTAACTTTATTTGCTTTAGTACCAAACGTAACTGAATTTCTTAATGCAATGTCATTTGCTTTGTATGGAAACATTGCTCTTAGGTAAACGCAAATGATTTTTTGCTTTTAACCTTAAACAAACCAATTATTTTGACTTATCCTTATTTCATAATTTTAGTATGGAAATAGGATCAGCTTATGCGATACAAGTATGCCTTCTACAAATTCCAGCTATGGTAGCAATTTCTGCTTGGCTTAATCAAGATAAATCTGATGAACAACAAAGAGGTCACACATTCACGTAAGAATTGATTTAGTGTACCTTGAATTTCAAAGTTTCAACTTTCTCATTGAAAATTTCCTTTTTTTTTAGATTGGTATTTCCTAGATGGGATGTATTTTCTGTGGTTTTTTCAGTATTTTTATTAACTTACACATATATAGAAGGAAAGTCTAATTATTTCAAAGGATCTATATTAATTTTGTCATATTTAGTATTAATGGCTGGATTTTTCTATGCTCCTGATTCTGATTATGATAGTTATAATATATAATATTTATAATTTCTTTGGTGTATATAATGTACTAATTATTTAAAGCATTTTCTCTGTTATATTTATTCTCTATTTATGGAATAAATTTATAATGATGAATACATTCAAAAATTAAGTTTATATGAAGACTTTATTGATTTGGTTTTTATATGTTTAATGAATTGTTAAATGCTATTTCTTAGGTTAAGAAGATAATCAATTTATTTTTGTATAAATTCTATACTAGTTATTCTCAATAAATATAATAATTTTTTAATTAATAATTCATTATTTTTTTCCTATCAACTTTTTTTTTGTTGAAATTAATTAATTACTTTTCAGATTAATTCCACTCGTCATCCTCATCATCCTCATCATCATTATTTAAACTTTTATTTCTTTGTTTAAGCTAAGAAAAAAAAAAATTAATCAAAAATTGCGAAAAAATTACAATATTAAACATAATACTTACCGCTTCAGCAAGGCTCATTTGTCCACTTGGACGTGGTGGTGCAATAGGCTAAATAATATTTTTTTTTTTAAAAAAAATAAATATATTAATACATATCTTATTCGTAAATGAGTTGAACATACATACCTTTGATCCCGTAGCTCCTGGTCTTGGGGGAGCAGGAGGCTTATCTCCAGATAAAGGTTTAGGTGGAATGATTGGTTTTGATGTTACCGGTGGCGGAGGTTTCTTGGCTATATAAAGCAATAAATTGTAAATTATAATATTATTAATAAAAATAAAATAAAAATAAAAAATTGGACGAATGAAGAACTACTTACAAAGACCTGTTACTTTTCTTGGAGTGGTAATACGATCGCTTTCTGCGCTTTCGGTTTGGTTTGCAGCCTATAAATTATGTAATTTTGAAAAAAAAATTTTTTTTTAAAACAATTAAAATACTGAATAAAAACAAAAGAATTACCTTAGCAGCAGCTTTTTTAGCTTCAAGAGCGGCCTTCCATGGAGGTACACCACTTGCATTATTAACAGGTGCCATACCTGGAAATACTGCTACAGGAGCGGTTGAAATATGTGAAGAGCCGCCAGCATAACTTTTATTTGAAGCTGCATGAGAAGAACTAAAACGAGATTTTGATATGGGTTGTTGTTCTACTTCTTCCTCTGCAGCAACTTCTCGTTGAGGCACTTTCTTTTCTTGAGTAGCAGCAGGTGGTGGAGGTTTACGTCTAGCAGGCAAAGCAGGATTTGGTTTCGGTGTAACTTTAACTTCTTCTAAATAATTACTTGGCACCCAACCTTGTTGACCGTCTTTTTTAGCTAACCACCAACCGTTATCATCCTTTTCAAGAATTTCTAATAAATCACCAGGTTTAAATGCCAATTCTCCTGCATCCTCGGTTACGAAATTATAAACACCTTTATAAATTGGATTTGCTGGTGGGGGTGGTGAAGGAGGTTTTTGTAGTGCAGAAGGAGGGGGTGGTGGTGGTGGTGGTGGAACCGCTCTACCACCAGTGGATGTCCTTCTTACAGCAGCATTAGTTACTTTAGATACTTCAATATTTGATGTAGTTGTATTTGAAGAGGGAGCCAAAGGAGGTTTCTTTTTAGCAACAGAAGGAGTTGGTTTTGATTTCGGAGCTTTCAATAATTTACCAGAAGTAATAGGTCTTGGTGGAGGTTCAATTCTTGGACAAGGAGGATCCGATAAACTATTTGGAGGTTCACCACTAGGTACAAAAACAGTATGACTCTTATATAAATCATTTTTTTTAATATTTTCGTCTTTGGTGAATTTGATTGTAGCAGTTTTGTTTAATTTTTTACAATATTCTATTTGTGACGCAATATTAATGTTCACTTTCGATCCTGTCCTTTGTAATAAATGAACAAGAAATTCTGTTTTGAAAAAGCATGAAAATATTGGATCTCCTAATTCTTTGGTTGGATTATTAAGATGAAGTATTATCCAATCATCTCTTAAATTTGATAAACTGACTCCAGTAATCGAATCTAATGGGATATTCCTTTCGACGTTCATTGTTAAAAGTTTCTTTTCAATCGTTGAAATAACAATATATATTGCCTTATCAGTCTATCAAAAAAAAATAATTTAAAAAAAAAAATAAGAATAAAAAAGTTAAATAAAAAGTAAAAAGTTTCAAAAAAAAAAATATACCATAATCAAAATCCTAGGACTTGGTTTACTTGATCTTCCAAGACGAGCAACAAGCAATTGAATCTTAAAGTTGAATGCCACAAACTCATTTGCTAATAACCAAACAAAAATATATATATATATGTAAATTTAACTATTCGAATTGCTTTTGTATATTTCTTTTTCTTTGAATATACTCACCTCCAAGATTACAAATATTCCTTAAAGCCTCGCCACTTTCGCTATCATCATTAATAAATAAATAATCTCCCATAAATTTTCTCATACTTAATAGACTCATCCTTCTTCTTTCTTTACGTTCTCCTAATATATTATGTCCATAGTCTCTTAACTGTACATAAATTATCTGATCTTTATTCTTTGTCCAACATCTTTGTATACGCCTTGCACATTCATTTTTATATCTAACATAATTTCTATATGATCTTTGAATTCTCATTGCCATATTATGCCAATATCTATCACGTAAATGTTCAAGTGCCCAGATCTTAATATATTAAAACCGATTTAGTACAGGGAATAAAGAGATATGACAAACAAGTATAATAAAGGTTATTCGATACCGTTTCTGGATGCCTAATAAATGCTTTAGTAACTCCCATTTGCCATTCTTCAGCAGGAATGCCACAATCTTTCAAAATTCTTTCTGTACCAGTCTTTTGATCACCTTGCCAAATATTATCTCCAGCGTATGAAGTTTTCTTTGATAATAAATAAAATCTAAAATAAACAATAAAAATAATAATAAATAAATAAACTTTTTGAAGGAAAAAATTTCTTTTTTTATAAAAAAAGAAAATATACCTTTCGAAAAATTTTTCAAATGTTTGTCTGTATGCAAACCCAGCTCTACGTACTCTAATATTTTCATTCAATCCAAGATATTTAATTTGATGTAAAACCATTTTTGAATCATATTCTGAAGGGCTCTTGTTTTGATTTGGCTTTATGGTACGTATATAAGAAGGCTGGGCTTGCATCAAATTTCTTACCAAATCATTTGCTGATAACTAAGTAAAAAAAATATTTATTTTTTTTTTTTTTAAAAAAAAAAAAGAAACAGACACATTAAACATTAAAGTATCCGCCCATACCTTAATTTTATCACTTGCAGTTGGAGGTCTCTTTTTAGAATCTTTATCGATACGATTAGGAAATAATACACACAAGAATTTGTTCTCACTTGAAGCAATCAACTCTAATAAATCCTTTACCAATTGATCTTTATTCTTGTCAGTCATACCAGGTATTGTATATAACACTTCTCCAGCATAATGTTTAATTAAAAATTTACTTCCTCTACTTTCAAAATGAGGATTTGAACTTAAATTTCCCAATCTTTGTACAAAGCTATTATCAGCAGCATCAGAATCAGCATGAGCAGTAGCACAAGCATCATTCATGAAAGCAAATATACCTGGAGGACGCTTTTCTTCTATTAAATCACATACTATTCTATTATTAAAAAACTCTATTGGTGTCCATTTAATTTTTTCTTTAACATATTCTTCTTGCTCTGCCTTTAATGTCAATTCAATAAATATTTGTTGTAACTTTTCATTAACGTAATTAATACATAATTGTTCAAATGAGTTTTCTTCAAAAATTTCAAATCCATAAATATCCAATACTCCAATTACATAGGATGACTGTGATCTGGAACGTAATGCTTGGTTTACACGTTCTACTATCCATTCAAACAAATTATTATATATCGCTTTGGCTAATGCATCTCTTACAGCTGATGCCTATTTTGGAAATTTATTTTGAATAATGAAAAAAAAATTTGAATATAATTATTTTAAATAGAATTCAAAAATACCTGAATAGGGTTGAGAGGAACATCATATACAGAACCACGACGACCTCCACGTGTTGTTTCAATTGTTCTAATTGTTAAAACCTAAGAATTTGCGTCAAATTAGCAAGAAATATATATATACAAAATATTAACTTAAATTATCATACCTTATTTAATGCTGCTGGTTCAACTTCCATTATGTAAGCAATGAAATTTGTAACTATAATCATTAAAATTTAAATGAGAACCTTTTTTACTATAAAATTTATTCAAAAAAAATTGTAAAATAAATCTACCGTTTTCGTCATTTATAACCGAATTTCCATCATCATCTTCATCAAATAATACATTTCCCAACCATAATATTATCGCCAACATTCTAAAAATGTCATCTTGTTCGTGTTTTTGTAGTCCTATTACTTCCATTGCTTCCTATAAATTTTATCATAAATATGTATATAAAGAAAAGAAACAAAAAGAACGTTATAGATTACCAGAGTCTCGCTATAATCATTATTATCATCAATACCGTCAACATCTAAGCAATTGCTTTTGCTCGTATATAAATAACTCTCAGGTCCTTGAATACCAAATTGTTCTATAAAGAAATGATTTGTCAGTAAAATGTCTTTAAAAAAAATCAGTATGTTAAAAGTACCTTGATATTCAGGAGAAGCAGCTTTGGTGAATTGATAGAATATGTGGAAATTACGTTCATTTTCAATTTGTCCAACAACGCGCCCCTATATAAATAAAAATAATCTTAACCATCTAAGAAATACTAAAGAGGAGACATTTTATTATCAAATTACCTTTTCTAATAAATAATTTGTAATAACCGCACCAACTGGCTCACCATTGTTATTAAATTGAATTTCTAAATATTTACCCTAAATTAAATAATTTTTTAAGTAATTTATTTTTCCAAGTAAAATATCGCAACAATTAAATAAATAAATGCCTACGTGACGACTTGAATTATTATTTCTGAGAGTTTTAGCACAGCCAAAACTTTCCAATAAAGGATTTGTAGCTAATACCATATCTTTAATTTCTTGAATTGAAGATGTTGCTCCACCGCTCACTGTTGCAATGTATTGCATAATCTATAAAAGAAAATTCTTTCTTTTTTAAAAAAAGAAAAAAAAAAAAAAAAAAAGGAAATATATACATATATAGATATATAATTGATAACTTATGCTATAATAAAATTTGAATATACCCTCTTAGCAGCCTCTGGGTTAAAATATATATATATATAAAAATATATTATTATACAAGAAAAATACATCTTAGTTTATGATAAAATTAAAATAGCCTCAAAGTTTACCAGTTTTACCAGCACCAGATTCACCACTAATAAAAAAAAAAATATTAATTTAATAAAATACCAATATCTAAAAAATCATCACTTTGTATGATAAGCATAAAAATACCTAATGATTATACATTGATTTTCTTTATAACTATTCATGTTATAATATGCTGATTCAGCAACAGCATAGACATGTGGTGACACCTATATATATAAAACCTTTTTTACTACAAATATTTTCCTTGATTCAAATCAAACTAGAAAGTGTCTTATTATATTACCTCTAATCTATTTTTACCCGTATAACTATGCAAGATCTCATCTGTGTAAATGCCCAAATCTTTAAATGGATTTACACTAATCAGTACATGTCCAATATATGTCTAATTTTTCATCAATAAATAAAAATTAAAGGTTAGATATTATCTTGGATATAATTGAAATAAAAATTTCTTTTCTAAAGAAATCCAACCAATTAAATTTCCAAAATTTAATTTAAACAAATCCGGAAACTAACAAAATAATTTATTTTTCCCCATCAAATACTTCCCAAGGTACTTACATATATTTCGGCATTTTCAAATCTTTTCTTTAAATTGTCATTAATAGCATCATTATTAACTTTACTCAACATAGTCATATCAGCTATTCCAACTTGCTTTTTTTTGAATCCTTCTTTCCAATCCGCTTTTGCAACTTTTTGTGCTTTCATGGTTGCTTTTTTTGGTGGCTTAATAATATATATTTATGTTAGCAAAATTCTTGAAATAAATGTGTTTTTTGAAATACATTACCATGTTTAATGTCTTGGTCGAACTGTTAACTTTTAAAATTTTAACGCGATTCCAAATAAAAAATAGTAACTTTCCCCCTTTATTAGGAGAGTAAATTGCCAAGTATCAAGTATCACAAGCCTACTGCCGATCCTGTCAAAAAATTCCAATTTTCTAGATAAAAATTATTGCCAAATCTGGCCTACATCAAAAAAATTTTTATTTTTCAAATAGAAAACGAGTTTTAATCGATTATTTACAGACACCAAATCTTTTTATCAAAATATATCATCATTCAAATGATTTGTTTGCATTACAGGAATTGAATTCATATTATAATGCATGAATTTTAAGTTCAGACCCTAAATTATAAAATTTAAGGCACTTTTTCGTATCGTACAAGGCGTATCCTTTTGATAGTATTTTAATTTTTGCATATACCATAACAAATTCATTGGATGTAGTAATGTATCTCTTCGGTATAGTACAATATAAATTATTGTTTAATGAGGATCGCGAATCAATGTTTAATATTAATTTGTATTTAATTGTATATGAGATAAAGTTTAATAAAACGCAGAAATATTTTTAATCTTTGTAACCAATCATAATATAAGATAAATAATGCAAGGGTCTTTGTCTTTGAAGATCAGAGATTGAGTATTTAATTCAGTGATTGTTTTGATTTTTCGTGGTTGGATATGACAAAATATTTGCATATAATGTGTAATCAATGTGTTTAATATATATTGTTATAAACACAAAAAAAAAATATGACAAAGTTTATTTCTTTGTTATACTTTTTTGCTAGGAACGTTTTATGTTTTTTTTTATTTATTTAAACATCATATTCTTTTTTTTATCACTCATTCATTCAATATCATTTTAATATTATTAATATATTTTTATTTTTATCCTGTCATTTTTCGATCATTTAATATTCACTTTTGATCAACCTCCTTTAAATTTCGTTAAAGTGAATATTTTACATTCATTCCTTAATATTTACCCTTCATTCTCATCACATTTATCATTTCTTTAACATAAAATGTCATCGCCCTCCCAATCATCTACATCTCCTCGCAAAGATAGTTATGAAAATTCAGATGATGATTTGTCATTCATGGATCCATTTAGATTTATAAACGGACGTAGATTCCATAATGAAAAAAGTACAATAAATTATTATTTGCCAAATGATTCTCAAGAATCGGATAGATTAAATATGCAACATTATTTATATCGTCATATTTGGAAAGGAAATTTTTCTTCTCCTATGGCAAAAGAATTAACGGGAGGAAATACAAGTGTACTTGATATTGGGTGTGGTCCTGGATTTTGGCTTCTTGATATGGCACAAAAATATCCTTCGTCTACTTTCGTCGGAATTGATATCTCTCCAACGTTTCCTTCATCTAATCAAATTCCTTCGAATGCAATATTTTTACAACATAACATTTTAGAAACTGAAGGATTGCCTTGGCCTCCGGATACTATTAATTTTGTTTATAAAAGATTTATGGCATTATCATTTACTCAGAAAGATTTAGTCAAGTTAATCAATGAAATTGTTCGAATTACTAAAAGTAACGGATGGATTGAAATAATGGATTATACTTATTCTTTAAAAAATTGTGGTAAAATTACCAAAGATTTAGTTGATGCATGTAAATAATCATTTATAATTTATTTTTATTCCAGGTATTATTTATTTATTATTAATTATTAAATTTTTGCAACTTTTTTTTTAGTGATAAAATTTCACGAATCTGATAATATTAAAGTACCTTCTAGCAATGATATTAAAAATATATTAGAAGGTAATGAAAATATAACAAATATTCAATATGAAGAAATATGCACTCCAATGGGGAAATGGAGTGGTCGAATCGGTGAAATTGTAAGTTTTCTTTTGTAATAAGTACAAAATCTATTTATTATTATTTTTTTTTTTTTCATTTTCTTATAAATTTACTTAACCTTTTTTTATTATTATTTAATTTATTGAAGACAATGCTAAATTTCATAATGACATTGAATGGATTTAAAGCATTTTTAGTACCTTTTATGAATATTACAAACGAACAATTTGATAATATATTAAGTGAATCTGAAAAGGAAGTTGATGATTATCAAACTTATATACAAACTTATCGTATCTACGGAAGAAAAAAAAAGTTAAATAATTAAAAAAAAAAAAAGCATTTAAAAAAGCCAATTTTTTTTGTATTGGTAACAAATTATGAATTTTATGAATTTTCTTAATTTTAGTGTATTGTTTATTTAAGGTATTTTAAACATAATATATAAGTGAATTTAATTATGCTTCTTTTTATAATAAAAAATTTTCAAAAGTTAATTGCGTTGCTTCTGATTTATTTAAAAATAAAATGTAAGACTATAAATTTAAAATGTTAAAATTTTAAATGAAAACACAACACTTTATATTATTGTTTTGCTAAAAAATTTTTTTAATCAATTCAAATTGTCTTATAAAATAATATAATAACTCTATATCCTTTTTTTGACTAAAAGTATGCTAAATTATTAAACATACTAAATCTATTATTAATAAAATTTGTTGAGAATTTTTTTAATAATGAACTTATAAAATATGCATAATATCAGTATATTTTATATAAAATACATTTAAAATATATATTTATTTTAATATATTATTAAATAGGAATTTAATTAATTTTCTTAATTTACTTTATAAAGTTTATTTCACAAAAATCAAATATATTATAATAATAATATTATAATATTTATAATATTAATTTAAAAAAAAAATTATATTGTAAAATCTCTCTAAAATGCATCCTCTTAGGATTACTAGGTTGCAAGATATATATTGCAATCTAATTATACTAAATTATTACCTAGTTATTACTTTATAAAGTAAATTTATAAAGAGGTATCTAGTTATCTGTTTTTGGTATTCTGAGTCACTTTATTAATAAGAAAATATTCACACATTTAAATTGCTTTATACTTTTTTCATATTTAAGTAGATATTTATGTATTTATACTATTTCATACTTTTTTAAGTATTAAGAAGTTAACTGATTATGAAACTGCTTCTGCATCCTTTTATTAACTTGTTGTAAACTCTTGTTAATTTACTTCTGCATCCTTTTTATTACTAAAAAACTATGTATTATATATCTTATATTACATAACCTATTTGTTTAATAAAATAAGCATAATGTATAATTGCTTAGAAGTTAAAAGTATAGTAAGGTAATAAATTTTATAAGTAAATTATAAATTAAGTCAAAAGGATCAATTGTTTATTCAATATATATTAACAAATAAGTATTGCTTCTGTTAACGCTCTATACTATACAAGTAGAGCCAATTTGGAGGTTCTAGGGTAAAATCGAAACAATACCCAAAATAGATCTTCAAGTCTTTTTCCAATCAATTTTAGCTATATGAATCAACTATAGAATTAAAGCTTCTAGCCAATTTTAACTCAATTCTAGAT